TTATCCCCATGCCGTTCAGAGTCTCAACAATATCTTTTATGACAAGGGTAGTTTTTGAGATTTTTTGTTCCTTGTTCTTTGCACTGACGGTAATTGCCAGGTCGTCGGCATGTGCTATTAAATTTATTCCCCGCTCTACTTTGACCTTTAATATCCTATTATAAAAGATATTCCATAGTGTTGGTCCTAAAATAGATCCCTGTGGAACTCCGCATGTGATTGGTATAGTTTCACCATTTGGACTGATAATAGATCTATTGCTAAGGTAGGATTTTATAATTTGAATCAGATAATTGGGTATGCCATCTTTGTATAGAGAATCGACGATACCATCCCACGGCACAGAGTTAAAGGCGTTTTCAATATCTAGGAGGATCAATAAGCACACGTCTCGGTTCTGGTAGCTTTTTTGTTTGATTTCATCGCTCAGATCAACAGATCTTCTTTATTGCATCAGTAGTAGATTTACCTTTGGTAAACCCAAATTGGTTGGGGTGTAGCAGCCTCTTTGCTTCCATTTCCTCTAACAGTCTTTTCCTTATTAGGGATTCGAGAAGTTTCCCCATGTCATCGATTAGACACAGAGGTCTATACGCCTTCTGTCCATCTTACGCTTTTTTAGGTTTCTCTATAAGTACCAACTGAGCTGTTCCATATTTCTGGAAAGTTTCCATTTTCTAAACAGTTGTTAAATGTGTTTAGGAATATTTGTGGGCACGCGTCAATGCATGCTTTAAGAATTTCCAGGGTAATACAATCAGACCCCGGTGCTTTATTTCGTTTCCTTCCTCCGATAGCATTTTTTAACTCTTCCAAGTTAAAAGGGGTAACCGTATTGTTTGTTTCTGGAGTTGATTCTGTCCAGTGAAATATTGCTTTCGTTGCGAATTATTTATTTATTTGGTTCCTGACTACCTGTTCATCTGGCGTATGTCTTGATCTCGTATTTAGTCTTTTCGTGATGATTTTGTACGCCTTACCCCAACCAAAACTAACCCAAACTATGATGGGGATTTTCATTTAAAATGGGGAAAAAGTACACAGAGGTTATCACAATAAAATTTTGTTCTCCTTGTTTTCAAGCGAAATTGAACATAATTTTCTTCTTGCCCCGTTTGATCGGTAATAGATAAGAAAATTGAATCGTATGTGCAATAAGTAATATTTTGTCAGTAGTTATTTAGCCGGTAACAAAGTTTTGTTAGGGTTTCTCTGTACGACGCCGTGCGTTTTAAGTATCTAAAGGTATTAGTTGTAATCCATAAATTATATATCGAAAAGATTTGAATCAAGAAAACAGTTATTTCCCAGTTTTTGACTGACCATTTGCGATTAATTTTCATGTTTTATGCGAACTACTTAAAGATACACGTACGGTTTTGCCATCTGCATTGGAGCTTATCGCTGACAACGTCTTGATATAGAGAACCAGAGTATTTTTTTTGTAACTGCTCATAATGCTTGGAAACAGTACTTATTTGGAACTAATTTTTTTTCACCAGACGTCCCAGATTGTCATCGGCTTTTACTTTTTTTTGCTTCAAGTTGTTGCTTCAACTTACATTATAACCAGCTATCCTGCGTTTGCACTAAAACTCTTCATAGCGATAATTATAAAAACATTGTTTTGGATTTGTTCCTGTTTTAGATGTTATATTACATTGTCTCAAAGTTTGCATTTGATAATGGGCGGGGCTCCAGCTGGGCCTGCCGGTACTGGAAAAACAGAAACTACCAAAGACCTTGGCAAAGCTCTTGGTATGATGGTGTACGTATTTAATTGTTCGGAGCAAATGGATTACAAATCCATTGGCAATATTTATAAGGTGGGTTCGATTTGGTCATCCGCATTTTGACTAGTTTTGTCACAATCGTGGCATTCTTTTCCTCAGATTTCTATTAAAAAACGTCCCTTTTAAAATGCATCCTATTACAGCAGCTAATTGTCCTAAATGTATTTCCAAATCGATTATCATGCTACGAGCATTTATAGTTGTATTCGAATCAACAAATTATTTTCTAGTGTGTCATCCTGTTTAATATACCAACTTGAACGTTTATGTGGCTTCTAAAGCGATTGATTTTCCGCATTTCGCATTTGCCTCCAGCCACAGGAAGCTTAAAGTGGACACAAAGGAACATTTCAAATAAGTCTGCTGAATGTTATACATATTAGCTAGCGCTCGAGTGACCTTTGGAGTTTCAAACGGAAGTACAGAACTCAGAAGTTCGTCGTCTTAAACCACTTTAAGGAGTTTTGGTCAACTGGTTTCAAAGCAGTTGAGTTTTCTTCTTTCCATCAACGATTCTGTGTTGATAAGCTTTTGATATTACTATATTGCCGTGATAGTTATGACATTTTCTGACAAATGAGCGTGTTTTGCTCGTATTGTCTATGTTTCAGTTTTGTTATTCACTACTGAGAATCTAGTAAAATAGACTGCAAAATGTATTTCTCACTTTTTTAGCTTGCCATATTACGTCGTTTCCTTTTGCTCATAAGCCCCAGGTGGAACTAAATATAACAAAGTGAACTATCTCACATAAAAAATTCCCACCAATTTGGAAGTTTCTAGTTGATTGCGGTTTTCTCATCGCGACTTCCTGCTCGTCTACACTACAGTTTCTCATAATTATGTACCCTATTTTCCCTTACTTTCGCAGTAATTTATGCTATGGAATATGTACTTCTATATACAACTGTGCAACGTTTTCAAAGGTTTTTGGCCTCCATGCATACGTTGATTTAATAAAAACATGCTTACTAGAAGCGCATGTTGTCCAAGGGAAATGAATCATTAGTGCTATTTTAAATATGGGAAATGTCAACTGTTAAATACACATTTATGGTTAATGTTTTTATAGTTCTTAAATCTTACATGCAAGCTTATGGTTTTTTTGTGTGGTTACAAAAATATAAACAGATGCGTTGAGGAACATTACTTTATAATGGACTACCTTAAAGCAATTTGTCTGTCTAAAATATTATTTAAACAGAAAGATTATTAAATTATTTAATAAATTGTCGAAAATATCCACCGTTATTCGCTAGACAATGGTATAGTCTGCCGTGAACATCTTTACGAACATTAACTAAGTTTTTCGAGGAAATTCGTTTGGATTCTTGTTATCAACAGTGTCCTGGCAAATGCATAGGTAGAAAAGGTGAAATATAATTTCCAGCAAGGTCTCGAGATCTGGCTCCTCCAGACTTTTTCTTATGAGGTCATTTAAGTACCGTTATTTACGAAAACCCACCTGAACTGGATCATCAAATATCACAAAAATGCAGCCTTAGTTCTCGTTAAATTTTGATCAGGATTTGTGACAAATTTTATCGGAATTTAAATCGTAAAGAATTTTATACATTTWCAACAATTCATAAAATAAATTTAAAAGGTCAAATCATTAAATTAGCAGTTATTTCGTCAACTATTAATTCTGTCTTTTARCATGACACATTTTCTCTTTTACATCTTGAATCGACCATCCGATTTTAMTTCTGCCTTCATCATTGGAAACAAATCTTCTTAAACATAGTGATGTGTGGGGGATGCAATTTTAAACGTATGGTAGTTAGAGACGAGGAATAACTGTTAAAATTAAACTTAACATGTTACCTAAGTTGTATTGTCTCTTTTAGTCGACATAWTTTTTRAAATATGTTGCTTACTTCTTGGCATTTAGATGAAATGAAGCAATTAAAGCCCTGTATAATGTAATTAATCTAGGATATATTAAAAAYTAAATATTTAAATAAYAATCTTTAGATATTGGCCGTTGACGAGATTAAAAGTGTTRTTCATATTATTAGGGATTGGCTCAGACAGGTTGCTGGGGTTGCTTTGACGAGTTTAACAGAATATCAGTGGAGGTATTGTCAGTGGTTGCSGTTCAAGTGAAATTAATTCAGGACGCAATCAAAGACCAGAAGAAAATATTTTTCTTTTTAGGTCAAGATATTGGATTAATACCCACGGTAAGTTGCGCATTATGACTTGCAAGAAGTTTGGCAGAATAATATCAGAACATGCTTTAATATTGCTTTGCTTTATAGCTAAACTTTTGCTGTATGTTTTACGCCTTGTGCCTATTCAGATATTTTAAGTGACTAGACATGGCTAGAGGCATTGATTATTTCAAATTTGGCATTTTAGTTCGGGGTTGCAATTTCATATGATCAGTTTATATCGAATCCGTTCATTTAAGGTTTGCTCAAAGTAATCAGATAATTTTTAAGGGTCCAATTATTTAAGGGTAAAAATTAAGGGTGGAAAGTCGGTAAATTAAGAGAAATATTTCTGCGGAGTTAATTTTCCAGTCGCTGAAAACAGCTGCTGATTATTATTTGATGAGATGAGAAACATGCACATAAAATCAATGTGATCCCTGGTTTTAAGTATGTTTTTTCGCTATACTTTAATCTTTAACCAGTGCGAGCTCGTTTGGAACTCTGCCATGTTTGAACGGTGCTGCAGTTATCTCTACGTTAGTAACTAACTAGATTCAACTTGTTGCGTTCTAAGTCCTTAGATTAGTAAACCTCAACTCTGCCGCAAGTTTTCGTATTGAKTGATAAAACACCAGAGTTTAAACAATTTGCGGTTGCASTTATGTGAGCCACTCTTAATTCAAWTTTGTTTTTTYCGAAACGAMTATCGGGRATTTAAATKAGAGMGCCATTTAGTAGATACTATCTAAGTTTACATTCCCATTTAGTCAMCTTGACAGAGTAGATGCGTAGATAAAATAATGTTTAATAAAGCTAGCTGCATGCTTAATAAAGTTKRTTCAGTTCYAATCAGCTTTTAGYTTTTGTCATAYGCAAACWTAAATTTWCTGGTCGKCCTGYTGCGTTATAAAACAGTGGCATTATCTYTCCATTTCCAAATATTTTTATGTAATTTTCAACACCGTTRGCGTTCATCGCATTATTAAATTTGCCTGATATTTTTCKCCTCCAGCTAAATTAGACGATATTGGAATTTTATTTTAGGTTGGCCTTTTTATAACGATGAACCCAGGTTATGCAGGTCGAACGGAGTTGCCCGAAAATCTGAAGGCGCTGTTTCGGCCTTGTGCCATGGTGGTCCCAGATTTTGCCCTCATTTGCGAAATCATGTTGGTCGCAGAAGGCTTTCAAGAGGCTCGACTTTTAGCCCGAAAGTTCATAACCCTCTATACACTATGTAAGGAATTGCTCACGAAACAAGACCATTATGACTGGGGGCTGAGAGCCATAAAGTCTGTATTAGTAGTTGCTGGGTCGCTAAAAAGAGGTGACAAGCAAAGACCGGAAGACCAAGTACTTATGAGGGCGTTGAGAGATTTCAATATCCCAAAAATTATTACTGATGATATGCCGGTTTTTATGGGATTGATTGGTGACTTATTTCCTGCTCTGGATGTGCCCAGAAAACGCAATATAGATTTTGAAAAAATGATTAAACGAACTGCGGTCGAAATGAAACTGCAACCAGAAGATGGTTTTATTCTGAAAGTAGTTCAACTTGAGGAACTTTTCGCCGTTAGACACTCGGTATTTATAATAGGCTTTGCTGGCACTGGAAAGTCAATGGTCTGGAAGTGTCTTATTAAGACTTACGCAAATCAGAAGCGGAAACCGTTATACAACGACCTTAATCCAAAAGCTGTGACCAATGACGAGTTATTCGGTGTGATCAATCCTGCCACCAGAGAGTGGAAAGATGGCTTGTTCTCTGTTATTATGAGAGATCAGGCGAATTTAAGCGGAGAGGGCCCTAAATGGATTGTGCTTGATGGAGACATCGATCCTATGTGGATCGAGTCACTTAACACCTTAATGGATGACAACAAAGTACTTACTCTTGCCAGTAATGAACGCATCGCGCTCACTCGTAGCATGAGGCTGTTATTTGAAATTGCTAATTTGCGGACGGCAACACCGGCAACTGTTTCCAGAGCTGGTATTTTATACATTAATCCTGCAGATCTCGGCTGGAACCCATTTATTGCATCCTGGATTGACACGCGAACAATACAAAGCGAAAAGGCTAATCTGATGATCCTGTTTGATAAATACGTACCGCCTTGCCTCGAAGCTGTGCACAAAAAGGTTAAGAAAATAACGCCTATATCCGACATTGCTCATTTAACCATGCTGGTTAGTCTCCTAGACTGCTTTTTAACACCCGAAAACGTTCCCCCTGATTGTCCTAAAGAGTGGTACGAAATCTATTTCGTGTTTTGCGTGGTTTGGTCGTTTGGTTCCGCGCTATTTCAAGATCAAATCATCGATTGGCGGAACGAGTTTAGCAAGTGGTTTACTAACGAGTTTAAGACTGTTAAGTTTCCAATTGGTGGCAATGTTTTCCAATACTACATCGAAGAAGAAAACAAACGGTTTGTGCCATGGACGGAGTTAGTTTCTCCGTTTGAACTCGACACAGATATTCCCTTGCAAGCTACTTTAGTGAATACTGCAGAAACCAGCAGGATCAGATTTTTTATCGATCTGTTGGTATCTATGAGGGTCCCGGTCATGCTTGTGGGTCCTGCTGGTAGTGGAAAGTCGGTGATTATCCAAGAGAAGCTTAATTCGCTGACTGAGCACTATGCAGTGACAAACGTGCCATTTAACTTTTACACAACATCTGAGATGTTGCAACAAATTTTGGAAAAACCTCTTGAGAAGAAAGCTGGAAAAGTGTATGGGCCACCTGGCAACAAAACCATGATTTACTTTATTGACGACATGAATATGCCAGAAGTGGACAAGTACTTCACTGTGCAGCCACACACACTTCTGAAACAATTCATGGATTATCAGCACTGGTACGACAGGCAAAAGTTGAGTTTGAAGGAAATTCACAATGTTCAGTTTTTATCGGCAATGAATCCGACTGCCGGATCATTTACTATCGATCCCAGGCTGCAACGGCATTTCTGTGTATTTGCTGTCAGTTTCCCGTCGGAAGAGAATTGCCTTCACATTTACAACTCAATTCTCTCTCAGCATTTAGCCAATCCTCAAAATAAGTTCAACGCTGTGATACAAAAGTTATGCCCAATAATTGTGCAGGCGGCCTTTTCCTTACACACCAAAGTCGGACAGACGTTCTTGCCCACTGCTGTTAAGTTTCATTATACATTTACGCTTCGCGACTTGTCGAATATTTTCCAAGGAATGCTCTTTGCTCATGGCCCGGCCATTTCCAACCAGACGGCGTTTATAAGACTTTGGATGCATGAAGCCAACAGGGTATATGGAGACAAATTGGTTGAAAAGCGCGATATGGACACGTTCAATAAACTGATAATCGACTCGGTGAAAAAGGGTTTTGAGGAACTTGATGAAAATACGGTTTTTGAAAAGCCCTTAATATTTTGCCACTTTGCCGAAGGCATTGGAGATCCGAAATACTTTCCAATACTCGATTTTGATCACTTGAGTCATCTGTTGCATGAAGCATTGAACGGATACAATGACTTGGTGGCAGCAATGAATCTGGTCTTGTTCGAAGATGCCATGTACCATATTTGTCGAATAAATCGCATTTTGGAAGCACCAAGAGGCAACGCCTTGCTTGTGGGTGTTGGAGGTTTTGGAAAGCAATCGCTTACCAGGTTGGCGGCTTTCATATCGTCATTCGAAGTTTTTCAAATCCAGCTCAAAAAGGGATATGCTATGGCTGATATGAAGGCCGATATAGCGGGGCTCTACATGAAAGTGGGACTCAAAAGTGTCGGCATAGTTTTTTTGATGACTGATGCCCAAGTTCCCGATGAATCTTATCTTGTGTTAATAAATGATGTCTTAGCGTCAGGAGAAATAAGTGAACTACTTCCCGACGAGAATGTGGAGAACGTCATCAGCGCAATGCGCGGCGAGGTTAAAAGTGTTGGACTGCAAGATACCAGAGAGAACTGCTGGAAGTTTTTCATTGATAGAGTCAGGCGACTTTTAAAAATAGTTTTGTGCTTCTCGCCGGTGGGTTCAACTCTGCGAGTGCGAGCCAGAAAGTTTCCGGCTCTTGTTAACTGCTCCTCGATAGACTGGTTCCATGATTGGCCCACCGAAGCTTTGCAATCTGTATCTCGTAGATTTTTAGCAGAAATCGAAGTACTGCCACCAGAACTCGTCAACTCTGTATCTCTATTCATGTCCTTTGCACACGGCGTTGTAAACACTTTTTCGGAAATTTACCTGTTGAATGAAAAACGCTACAACTATACCACCCCTAAGTCGTTTTTAGAACAAATCGATCTGTACAGAAAACTGTTGACGGAGAAAACTGCAGACATACACAACAACATTACAAGACTGCAAAACGGTTTAACCAAATTGGCATCCACTTCCGAAGAAGTGGACGGATTGAAAGACGTATTGGCTGTACAAGAGGTGGAGCTGAATGAAAAAAATGCAGCTGCAACTGCTCTTATTGACGTTTTGACCATCGAAAATGAAAAGGTTGCCAAAGAACAAGATACAGCTAGTGAAGAAGAAGCGAAAGTTAAGGCCATTGAAGAAGACGTGTCGGCTAAAGCAAAAATTTGTGCGGAAGATTTAGCAAAGGCGGAACCCGCACTAGTTGCAGCCCAACAAGCCTTAAATACGCTAAACAAAAACAATCTGACTGAGTTAAAATCTTTTGGTAGCCCTCCAGAGGCTGTGGTTTCGGTATGCGCTGCTGTTCTCGTGTTGTTTTCGAAAAAAGGAAAAATTCCCAAAGATCGCAGCTGGAAGGAATGCAAATCGATGATGAATAAAGTCGATCAATTTTTGAACGACCTGATTACTTATGATAAAGAAAACATGCATCCGGACACTGTTAAAGCCACACTTGAATATCTGAAAGATCCGGAATTTAGTCCGGAAAAAATTCTCACCAAGTCAGCGGCTGCAGCAGGTTTATGTGCATGGGTGATTAACATTATTAAGTTCTACGAGGTGTTTGTGGTAGTAGAGCCCAAGCGGAAGGCTTTGGCTCTAGCCAATAAAGAGCTTTCTGATGCGAGGGGAAGACTTTCAGAATTGAAGCTGAAATTGGATCAATTGGAGAAACAGTTGGGTGTGCTGAGAGCAGATTTTGAAGAAGCCACAAATGCTAAGTTGAAATGTCAAGCTGAAGCAGATGCCACTACGCAAATGATCGATCTAGCTAACCGACTGGTTAATGGCTTAGCGTCAGAGAATATCCGTTGGAGGCAACTTATAAAAGATTTCAATGCCTCAATTATAACTATCCCAGGAGATATGTTATTAGTTACAGCCTTTCTTTCGTATCTCGGATGTTTTATGAAGAAGTATAGAACGGATATGTTAGACAAGCATTGGATGCCATATTTCAAAACATTAGAAGTTCCAATTCCTATGACTCCCGGTTTGGATCCAATGAATCTGTTGGCAGATGATGCCAAAATTGCCCAGTGGAATAACGAGGGTCTTCCAACCGATCGCATGTCTGCGGAAAATGCTAGTATATTAACTAATTCGAGTCGTTGGCCATTGATGATTGATCCCCAGTTGCAGGGTATAAAATGGATTAAAACTAAATTCGGAGAAAATTTAAGAGTGGTGAGAACAACTCAAAGAACGTATCTAGATGTTATTGAAGATTGCATTTCCAAGGGCCAAACTGTGTTGATTGAAAATATTGGAGAAAACTTGGATGCTGTTTTAGATCCAGTGCTTGGCAGAGTGTTGATTAAAAAAGGAAAAGCAATTAAAATGGGCGATAAGGAAGTAGACTACGATCCCAATTTCAGGTTGATATTACATACAAAGCTTGCAAATCCCCATTATAAGCCTGAAATTCAGGCTCAAACCACCCTGATTAATTTTACTGTAACACGTGATGGGCTGGAAGAGCAACTGTTGGCCGAAGTGGTCAAGGTGGAACGACCAGATTTGGAGCTACTGAAATCATCGCTTACTAAGCAGCAAAACGACTTTAAGATTACGCTGAAAACGTGTGAAGATAATCTTCTTTATAAATTGTCTTCAGCAACTGGGAACATATTAGGTGATGTCGAGCTGGTCCTTAATTTGGAAACAACTAAAAAAACGGCTAATGAAATTGCCATTAAAGTGGAAGAAGCTAAAGTGACCTCAGTTAAAATCGACGAAGCTCGGGAACAATATCGTCCATGTGCAGCCAGGGCTTCGCTTCTGTACTTCATTCTAAACGACTTATTTAGAATAAATATGATATATCAATTCTCCCTGAAAGCTTTCAGTGTGGTGTTTCGCGATTCCCTCAAGAGAGCAGAGCCAGCTGAAAAACTCAAAGATCGAGTGGTTAATTTGCTGGAGAGTATTTCGTTTTCAGTTTTCATGTACACTTCTAGGGGTCTGTTCGAGTGTGACAAGCTAACGTTCATGGCTCAAATGACCTTCCAAATTTATATACAATTGGGCGAAATTATGCCTGATGAACTCGATTTTTTGCTCAGATTTCCTGTCATTGCCAATCTAAATTCACCAGTGGATTTTTTAAATAATATTTCTTGGGGAGGCATTAAAGCACTGTCACTAATGGACGAATTCAGAGGACTGGACAAAGACTTAGAAGGATCAGCAAAGCGTTGGCGGAAGTTTGTTGAAAGCGAATGCCCGGAAAAGGAAAAATTCCCGGGAGAATGGAAAAACAAAACAACATTACAAAGGTTATGCATAATGCGATGTTTGAGGAATGATAGAATGACGTATGCTGTTCGCTTGTATATCGAGGAAAAATTAGGCACTCGATACGTAACAGCCAGAACGGTTGGTTTCGAAAAATCCTATGAGGAAACCAGCGCTCAAACGCCAGTGTTTTTCATTCTTTCGCCTGGCGTGAACCCGTTGAAGGATGTGGAAATGATGGGAAAGAAGTTGGGTTTCACATTCGACATTGGCAATTTTCATAGCGTTTCGTTGGGTCAAGGGCAGGAAATTGTTGCGGAAAATGCCATGGATCTAGCCGCTCAAGATGGACATTGGGTAATTCTTCAGAACATTCATCTGGTCGTCAAATGGTTAGCTACTTTAGAGAAGAAAATGGAACAGTGTTCTGAAGGAGGTGAGTCCACTTTCACTATTAGTGAAGACAGTCAAGACTATGTTGATTTATATTTGAATTTATGCATGTCGCATTTTATCGGACATCGTCTGTAGTACCTGGTGGGTTAGAAATTGAAATCGTTCAGATCGAGCCATAATTTTCGGCTAATTCGGATCAGTAGAAAGCGTTCTACTATTGAAGTAGCGCTATTTTCTCATTCTCTTGCTTCGTTGCATTGACAAAATTTGCCGACGATTTTTTGGACCAAGTTTGAGTTGATCAGTTTAGGTCTAAAATGGGTAATTGGGCAGATATCTTTGGTTAATCATAGAAACCACTCTAACAGGACGATAATTTACGGTTAATTCGGTTCATGCCACGGAATCGCATAGAAATTGATGCATTTTTAGTATTGAACGAATCGCAAATGTGAACTTATCCTTCATTCGGGGACTTGAGTCTCCGATACCAGAAACTCCTAAAATTGTATGTTGAAGTTGTATATCGGCCAGTAGGTTAATAGCCAAAAGCTCTCCAAATGGGGCATAATGTTCGGTTATTTCGGATCAGGATTTGTAGCTACGGTTTAGCCTACAAGTGCAATTCCTCTCATTATTGCTGTTTGCAAAGTAGACCTCTCAACTTTTCAAAATATGGCGGTTAAACAGTATTTCGTATTGATTAATTAATTGGTAATGGCTCTAACTTTTGCTAATCTAGGTCATGAAAAATACAGATTGTATCTAAGTGCTGAGCCATCGTCTGATCCGCACTCTTGCGTGATACCACAAGGGATACTAGAGTGTTCCATTAAGATAACAAACGAACCACCCACTGGCATTAATGCCAATTTGCACAAAGCTCTGGACAATTTTAATCAGGAAACACTGGAAATGTGTTCCAAAGAGGCCGAATTTAAGGCCATTCTATTCGCTCTTTGCTACTTCCATGCCGTGGTAGCCGAGCGGCGGAAATTTGGGCCTCAGGGCTGGAATCGAAACTATCCGTTCAATGTTGGCGACTTAACCATCAGCGTCAGCGTTTTGTATAACTATTTAGAGAGCAATAACAAGGTAATTCCTACTAGAACTTTGTACAAACGGGAACAGTTTATGTATTTTAGGTACCATTTGAAGATCTACGCTATCTTTTTGGTGAAATAATGTACGGCGGTCATATTACGGATGACTGGGACAGGCGATTGTGCAGAAACTATTTACTAACATACATGCAGCCGGAGCTGATCGAGGGAGAGCTACAGTTGGCCCCTGGTATATTTTAGTGTTGCTAATAACTTTCTTGGAACGCGCTCTCTTCATGTTCTGCCCAGGTTTCTTCGGGTGAACGCAAGTCTTGTTCAACATCTTTTTTGCTTCATCTTGGTAAAATCCATGCCCTCGTGTTAATTTTCGTGGCTTTATTCTAGCATTCTTTGCGCCACCGAATACCGATTACATAGGATACCATCGTTATATCGATGATCGACTGCCTGCAGAAAGTCCGTATCTCTATGGCCTGCATCCGAACGCTGAAATTGGATTTTTGGCGAGCACCTCGGAAAATATGTTTCGAACAATATTTGAAATGCAGCCCCGAGACTCGAGCGCCGCTGCTGGCAGTGGAATGTCTCGCGAAGATAAGGTTGGCGATAATAGTTAATTTTTCCGCAACTAACTCCAACTGTAGGTACGAAGCACACTGGAAGAAATATATGATAAACTCCCTGAAGAATTCCCAGTCCAAGAAATGATGGCCAAAGTTGAAGAGCGGACACCCTACATAATTGTGGCGTTTCAAGAATGCGAAAGAATGAACACTTTGACGCGAGAAATGAAGCGATCCTTAAAAGAGCTCGATTTGGGCCTAAAGGGAGAACTAACTATAACGTCCGATATGGAAGTGCTTGAAGAAGCTCTATTTATGGATGCGGTGCCCGAGTCCTGGTCAGTCAAAGCGTACCCAAGCTTGTTGCCACTTGGCCAATGGGTTGGGGACCTTTCGTTAAGGTAGTTTCTAATGACTAGATTTTTTCGCTTGTAACTGCGCGCAATTTTTAAGAATCAAAGAACTAGAAGGCTGGACAACCGACTTTTCGATGCCAGCCGCAGTTTGGCTGGGTGGGTTCTTCAATCCTCAATCTTTCCTAACTGCAATCATGCAACAAACTGCTCGCAAAAACGAATGGCCTCTGGATAAAATGTGCCTGATGACGGATGTTACTAAAAAGCAAAAGGAGGACTTTAACTCTGCTCCAAGAGAAGGTGCCTATGTGCATGGACTGTTTATGGAAGGCGCTAGGTAATCATATTTCAAAATTAGTAATTTTTTTTGTAATTAGAAATAATCGAACATTTCTAATTTGTTCTATTTGAGCCTTTTCTACAACTCAGGTGTTTAATTGTGGCCACTTTCTAGGCAATTTCACTCTGAACTTTCTCCGAAGGCCCAATTGGCTTGTAATAATTCGTCAATCCGTTCGTCTATTATGTAGAAGGGCTTTCCGATTGAGAGTGTCCACAACAATCATGGATTTTAATTGATATTAATAGACATACAGATATTGTAACAAATTACCACTAAATTACTCTAAAATATTGCTTAATATTGAATCTCTGAGCTACAGTGACCTATTAAAGGACGCCTATTTTTAATCAGCCTGTACAGAAGGTTATAGCTGTTTTACATATTTCGCCGTCGTCTCCCTTTCGAAATAACCCCCAAAAGACATGGGGCCAATCCATTCAATCAGTTTATAGTAATGAGGAAAGCAGAAGTTAGTTCACTGTATTAATATACGTTCTTGGAAACACTTTCGAATCTTTCAAGGCTATTCTCATCAACTTTCGACGTTAAAAGTATAGGTATATCTATGTTGACAATTTCCTATTAAGTAATTCAGTATTGACAACTCCTAATCACATTCCAAGCATTTAATACAAATTTTACTCGGCATTTAAATGCGGCAATATACGTATGATTTCTGTCAACATTTAATTGAAATGAATTTGTTTGAACATTCCAGCGTATAAGCCCTGTCTAATTGATACTTTGTGTCCTGTGTATTATAGATGGGACATTCAGTTAAACAGTATTTCCGATTCAAAACTGAAAGAGCTGTTCCCAGTAGTGCCTGTAATTTTTATTAAGGCAATTACGCAGGACAAACAGGATTTACGAAATATGTATGATTGTCCCGTATACAAAACGCGAATGAGAGGTCCGACCTTTGTTTGGACATTCAATTTGAAAACCAAGGATAAAGCATCCAAATGGACTTTGGCTGGTGTGGCCATCCTACTTCAAGTTTAATCAATTGTTTGTTACAGTTTTTGTTGATTTTATGACAGGTTTATATAAATGTTATTAGCTTAAAATAATTGTTAATAAAATGGTTGATTGAACGTTGTGGCTTTTGTCAGTTTTCTTGCATATGGTGTTTCGGTTTTGCTCCTACAGTAACCTATTGATTCTATTTTTTTTGCTTTTTGCTATGTTTTTTGGTTGCTTAAAAACGAATGTTGTGCTTTTCACAGAATTTGAAATTATTTGATTTAAATAGTTTCAATTTCATTCGGTTTATGCAGCTGATCATTGGTCTTTGTCGGATTAGTTTCATCAATATTATTCTGCTTTGATGGATTGACCGGTCGTTCTCTTTACATATATCCATCGCTCTTAACGTGTTTCCGTCGAACAATTTTTGGTAAGAAGAAGGGACAAAGAAGGGGGATTTTGACAGGACCTAGGTTGCATACCAATTTGTTCTCGTCAAGTCATTTTAGCTTGTAAACAGATGTCACGTTTAACAGCTAAGATTTAAGCTAAACATTATTCACAAAATCAGTCAATGTTTTTCGGGAGCGGAACATGTTCAACAGGTTAACATGCACCAAACATATCTAGTCAGTTTTAGGAGTTTGAGATACAAGCATTCCTAGGCATTTCCCATCAACTTCGTTTAGGCTGAAAACGGCATTTTCAGAAGCCTGCATTTTAAATAAGAACAGTGTTTTTTTAGATTGATGCTGCATTTGGACAAAAATGTGTGGCTAAATAGTCATTATTCCGTACTTTAGATAGTTGGTCTATGATTATGCAAATTTTATTTTTGTCTCACTTTGAATGAACACTGTTGGTTTTGTTTATGATTTTATTTTGAATTTAATACAAATACTTTACTTTCCTATTTCTCTGTCCACGTTTTCATACTATCTACAGATTACGGGATTTCTTCGTTTATTCCCTTGTTTTCCAAGTATCTTCCCGAATTTCTAAATTTAATAAATCAAACAATTTAGAAATTGGCTGAAAAAATGTCTGTTGATGAAATTCAAGATTGCTCATTTTGTTGGCAAAGCTTTACGCTACATCATTCATAATTATTGACTGTTTATGACACTATATGTTTCATTTAATGCGGACGAATTATTTTCCAGTTTCACTGTCTACATCACTTTCTTCAAGGCCTCTTCTTTTTTGACACATTTCTACGCATTTGGATATTTTGCAAATTACGCCATTGATAAATAAGGGTAAAAAGTGAAGAGTTCACTGCAGCGTAAGCAGTTAAGCTCCGCATATATTGCAAGGTTTAAGCGACCAGGAAGCGTTTGCTGCGGATGCCTCTAGATTGATTTAATGAAGTTAGACGATTGAGCATTTGCTTACTCGTAAAACAGTAACTGTACAGAACAATATTGATTAAAAAATCATCGGCAGTACAACACATAATCACAAACTCTGAGATGAATAAGTGGACCTTATTTGGTATAATTGTATGTTTGTGAATTCAATGAATCAATGTGGTCTATTCTCTGCTGCTTCTTTACGCTCTGCATTTCGATGGTTCATATTCTCTTTATGTTGAACAACGGATTTCTTAACAATGTGATGTAAATCAATAAAACAGTGCCCAAATGAAGATCAGGTACAAATGTAACATAATTTACCTGTGAATTTTTTCAGACATTACTTTTCAAATATATCGGTTAAATAAAGTGTTGCTATATAGTTTAGAGATTCCACTACACCGTTACTTTATAATAAAGGGTTCCAATAATAATTTTAATAAATAAGCATTTGAATTTTAAATAAAATATGTATTTGTGGCATAAGTTTGAAACATTTATTGAAAAATGAAGTTCACATCATGAGGTTATGAATGGAATAAAACATTGAAAAAATAACGGCCTCGGCTTTGCTGGCACAGACGTGCTCTTTTCATGAAATTTTCAAGGACTGTTGCGCATAAATTTTGCGGCATTTTAGAGATATAACGGTGAATTTCATCTTTAATAGCTTCAATCGTTGACAACTTGTGACTTTAACAAATCCAAAAGAAAAAAGTCCAAAGGCGTTAAATCGCATGATCTGGGCGGCCAGCGCCGATCTCCAAAACAAGAAATAACACGACCAGGAAATGACGCGTGTAGTAATTCAACAGTTTCTCTGGCTGTATGGCATGTAGCACCGTCCGGTTGAAACCACATGCTGTTGAGATCCATATTTTGCAAGTTTGGCACAAAAAATGATGGTGCTGCGAAATGAAAACATTACTACTACTACATTGTTAACTGCGAAAATCACGGTTAGATTGGTAATAACTTCCTGACATTCCATTATTTTACCTTTGTTATTAAGTCTATATCTTAAACCAATCCTTACACACTTTTCAATACGTATCTATCTGTTTCAAGGCTTGCAAAAGCTGAGTAAACTGAACAAAATAAGTCTTTTAATAAGTAAAATTTTACTAGTCAAAGTGTAGTTATAATTTATCCGTCAGTGGGCGTTTGGACTTTTGAACTCGCGAATTGAAACTAGCATGTTCGATCAAATGAAAGTGTCAGTTCTTCATCCCGTTTCTGATTATGTGTCACATACATTCCAAAACCGGTTTGTATACACTCATTAGAATGATAGAGCTCCAGTGGCCTCCAACCCCGACAGCCGATTTCACGGCTGTTGTTTCCTGGGCTCCGGTGCACGGACTGTTCGGCCATATTCGAGATTGCCCGGATTGCTCCGGTGTTTAGGGGCTCACAATCCGGGTGGAGCCATCCGCGTAGTCGTGATGTTGCCGTTGGGGTTGTATTATTTGGCCCTTCGTTTAAACGCGATAATTCACGCGTTTTATCTCGCGATGTAGAATTTGCGGCTGTAACATTATCTCGAATTTAAATGCGTTGACAGCCTTGAAAAATTTACATTTTTGTGTAAGTTACATCGGATCTGAATGATCCAGGGACACCCTAGTGGCTAGATAGTGTAATTTTCGAGATCAAACTTTGTGAATGTGACGTGTTATTCATAAACGTAAAGCTTAACGTTATTAGTACTGTCTTGATTTTTGGGATTGTTCGGAATGACCATGGTAAGACTCTAAGAATGTGCGCCTCTCAGAAGATTTAAGGTGAGTTTATTGAGGGATTGTCCCTACCTTTGACATTAATTTAATACCTTGAATCACATTGACATCACATTGACATCACATCACCTAGCTTCATCATGACTTTCGTCTTCATGCGGCTTTTCTCCTCAGTATGTTATACATTCGTTAGTCAGTAGTATCCGGGCGTGTAACGCAAAACCTGTTTATACAGGGTGATTTAAATCGGCATATGTGATATTTACAAACAACCAGAAAAAATACGCTTACATGGTTTGCTTATAATAATATGAAGAATTTTGTCTAAATATTCTTTTTCTTCTTCTTCATTCTTGATTTTAGGCGAATCGCCAATTATCGTTAACTTGCGTGAGGCTGTCGCTCCATCGTTTCCTGGGGCGGCCAACGTCTCTTCGTCTCAATGGGGACTTGTCGCGAGCGATTCTGACAAGTTTGCGGTGGTCCATCCTGCTTATCTACTCATTCCATTCCTTCTTCCTGTTTGCTACCCATTCATTGATGTTCTTGACATTACAGGCTGTTTTGATATCCTCGCTTCTCTCTCTATCCAGCAGTGTCTTTCCGGTGATTATACGGAGTATTTTCGTCTCAGCTGTCTCTAGGTGTCTTTTGGTTTTAGCTGCTTCTGGCCTGGTTTCTGCGGTTTATGTCATCACCAGCCTCACATTGGTTTTGTAGATCCTCGATTTAGTGTCCGTTCCCATACCCTTATTGCACCATTGTTGTTTGATCTCTCACCTCTGCCTCAATATCCCCAAAGCCGGAAAGTTTCACGCCAAGGTAGTTAAATTTAATTTTCTGCTCGATTACTCTACCGTCAAGTTCCAGTTTGCACCTTAGAGGGGTTTTGATGTTGTTAAGCACTTTGTTTTGGTCGGTGATATTTCCATATTTAGTAAACATGTACCTTTGTAAGTCATCTTCACTTTCTGCAATAAGAGTGGCATCGTCAGTATAACACACTATTTTGATTTCTGCATCCTCCATTTTGTATTTTGTATTGTAAAAGGAAAAATCTTTCTTTTGGGAGAGCAAAATTTTTGAAAAAGTTAGCTCATTACTCATTAACGTTCTTTTAAGTCTTTGCCTTCTTAAATCTTTAAATTTGTCATAATTTTCTACATTTGCAAGAATGAGAACGCGTACGTATTGAGATAAGCAGAAATAGTTTTGCTTTTTTACCAGTGAACTGGCTGTTCCATACTTAAATACGGTAAATGTTGCTAAGGTTGTCAGTATCTGATCTGAAATTTACTGCTTTTGCACGTTTTTTTTATTTGTATCATTTCTTGGATTCTTCTGTTATGATAATTTGTTTCCCTATCTAATATATCTGCGTTGTTAAAATCGAAATTATGTGACATTTGGTGTGCATGTTGTGTTAATGATGCTTTATTTTCACTAATATTTCTCAGGCTGTATTTATGTTCGCACACTCTCTTTGTTAAATATCGTTGTTACACATAATTTACTGTTATGTGTAAAAAATGTATTGAGTGATTTTTATCCTTCTCTATTGTAAATTTTATAGGGTCGTGAAAATTGTTGAATTTATTTAGGGTATATTGAATTTTTACTATGGGTAAACACATTAAGCAATCATCCACATAGCACATGGTTTATAATTTAGGCTTGTTACTATGTTTTTTCCAAGCTTTCCATAACAAGGTTTGCAATTGTTGCTGATATGGGCAAACCCATTGCTACACCTTATATTTGTGAATAATATTTTTCTTCAAACTTGAAATATGTAGATTTTAGGCATAGCTCTACTGCTTCAATAAATTCTTTTTCTGGAATTATCGAATGTTGTTCGATTTCATTACATTTATTTTTTATACACTCTATTGCATATTCAATTGGGATATTGGTATATTATGATGTTACATCAAGCGATATTAAAAAAAAGTGATTTTGTGGTTTTTTTTTGGTTTTTGATAAATTCACAGAAATTCCAAGAGTCCTTAATATGATATTCTTACTGTCCTAAGA